AGTCCCCGCTGAAAGGAGATGACAATCAGCTAGATCGATCTTTTTCCGACTCGTCCTTGTTCAACCACTGGGGCCAGGATCTGGGGCCAGAGAGCCGCAGAGCGGCCCTCAAGATGTTTCAGTATTACGGCTACAACGGTTACCTCAGCGACCGCCTCTCCATGGACAGACCCATCCCAGACTACAGACCTGAAGGGTAAGTGTCTGGCAGTCCAGCCTTAAGACTGCCTGTCTGTCTGTCCTTTACTCACTGTCACAGCGAATGCCTGCGTGAACTAATGTGATGGTTGAGCACAAATCAGTGTTTGCAGTCAGCAGATGCCCTGTGTTCATTTCTCACTGAAATATGATGGTGATGTAATAATATTTTGATATATACCCATGGCGTTTTTTTTTTAGAGGAGGCAAACAAGAGCAGTGTGTTCTCAAAAACTAATTCGGATGAGAAAATGATTGCCTTCTTTTTGCCTCCTCGGGTCCACCACACACCACTGATATGTATTGATATAATTATATATACTATATAATGATTACCATATTCATGTACCATGGTATTTATAATGTACCCCAAGGTACACTACATTTTTGACATGTTGAAAGGCGTTTCTTATGCTTACCAATGCTACATTTATGTTGAAAAATACAGTAAAAATATGGATTTTTGTATGGATATGGATAAAAAAACATACTGTGAAATAGTATTACAATTTAACATGTTCTATTTTAATATATTTAAAGTGTAATTTATTGCTGATTTGGTGCTCAAGAAGCATTTCTTCTTCATCTTCTTCTTCTTCTTCTTCTTCTTTCTTCTTCTTATTATTATCAATGCTGCTTAACGTCCACTTACAGTTGAATGGAGTGCACCTAAAGATTTCTGAAGGATCATATGACACTGAAAACTGGAGTAATGATGCTGAAAATTCATCTTTGTCATCACTGGAATAAATAACATTTTAAAATATATTCAAATATTCAAAAATATTTCACAATATTACCATATTTGCTGTATTTTTGATCAGATAAATTAAGTGTTGGTGAGCATAACAAACATATTTCCAAAAAAAAATAAATAAAATGAACTATTCCATATTTTTTGACCAGTAATGTACAATAATACTGCTGAAAATTAGTGTAATGTAAAACCCGGTACCGTTTCAGTAAGTGAACTGTAAATGAAAAAGGTCTGTTATGGGTTGAAAGCATGGCAACAAACGGTTTACTCAATCCGACTCTATTTTGACAGGCTTTGAAAGAGGTGTGTGTGGAAAAACATAATTATTCCATAGCCTGTAATTACTGGATGTGTCTTGCTGGCAGCAACATAAAGAATTCCTTCTCATCTGATCACATCTGTTCTTTTCTCTCCGTGAAGCCAAATTGCTACTGCATACCTGGGTCTGAAAACCTTCAAAACCCACTTCTTATAAACTCCAGTCTGCCAAGAACATCAAAACATTACCTGTCAATTGTAAAGACCACCATATTTACCAAAAAGGTCCTGTTTTTTCTAATTGCCATTTTGTCTTTTGTTAGATTTCTCTGTGATTTCCACGCAAAGGAAACAGAATAGGGCCTGAAACTGAAGATAAAGTCATGTTTTAAGAAATGGTCAGAAGTTGGCTAATGCTGAAAATGGTGATTGTAAACCTCAGGAGGTCAAACTAAATATTATATGAGCTGTTTGATTTACTATAAATTTTGCATGAGGTTTGCAGTTTTGCAACTCTGTTACTAAAATTTAGGACAATTTTGGGTCTAAATAAAGCCCAAAACTCAGATTTGTGGGACCTTATTATGAGCCACAATTATTCAATAAACACAAAGGAAATAGACAGCATTTATAAAATTTAAGTACCGGTCAAAAGTTTATTATTATTGTTTATTTATTTATTTATGTAATTTTTTATCTTATGCTCTTCAGGACTGCATTTGTTTGATCAAATATACATAAAAACAGTAATATTGTGAAATATTATTACAATTTAAAATAAATAATTTTCTATTTTCAAATTACATTTTCCATCATTCTTGTGAATTTTCAGCAGTCATTATTCCAGTCTTCAGTGTCATACAATTATTATTTTTCAGAAAAATTTTTAATATGCTGATCATTTAGAATTGGTGCTCTAATATTAATAACGATATTATTAAACTGTGCTACGTTTTTTTTTCTTCCCGAATTTGATGAGAGTTCAACTGAACAGAATTTATTTGAAATATATATTTTTTGTAACATTTTAAATGGCTTTATTTAAATGTCTTTTGATCAATTTAATATGTTGATAAATAAAATTATTATTTTGTTTAAATGTTACAGCTCCCACAAAAAATATTAAGCATAGAGTAATAATAATAATAATAATAATAATAATAATAATCAATATTCAATATGGGTAAAGATAAAAATATATAAAAATCAAATACTTCATGTGCTTTTCAATTGTATGTTAGTCGACACATCAAAATAAATGTAATTCTTTAAAGCACTCCAGAAGATTATTAAAACATGATTTAAAATGTACTTTTAAGGAAAACTTTTAAATTGACATTATTAGAAAGTGTCATGGAGTATAATGTTTTTAAGTTATCTTTAATGGTATGATCAGTACAGTTTTGTAAAAAAAATTAATATTTCAATAAAATTAAGAACAATTCTTTTTCACAAGAGTTGTCGCGTCATTAAGTTCAGTTGGTTTTAAGATCGTGCGTGTAAACGCATTCAGTGTCAGTTTCCTTTTGTAGCCTCTGTTCTCTGACACGTTTCATCATCAGGGGAATGCCAACATCTCTCTGTTTGACCCTCATAGAGTCCCCGCTGAAAGGAGATGACAATCAGCTAGATCGATCTTTTTCCGACTCGTCCTTGTTCAACCACTGGGGCCAGGATCTGGGGCCAGAGAGCCGCAGAGCGGCCCTCAAGATGTTTCAGTATTACGGCTACAACGGTTACCTCAGCGACCGCCTCTCCATGGACAGACCCATCCCAGACTACAGACCTGAAGGGTAAGTGTCTGGTAGTCCAGCCTTAAGACTGCCTGTCTGTCTGTCCTTTACTCACTGTCACAGCGAATGCCTGCGTGAACTAATGTGATGGTTGAGCACAAATCAATGTTTGCAGTCAGCAGATGCCCTGTGTTCATTTCTCACTGAAATATGATGGTGATGTAATAATATTTTGATATATACCCATGGCGTTTTTTTTTTAGAGGAGGCAAACAAGAGCAGTGTGTTCTCAAAAACTAATTCGGATGAGAAAATGATTGCCTTCTTTTTGCCTCCTCGGGTCCACCACACACCACTGATATGTATTGATATAATTATATATACTATATAATGATTACCATATTCATGTACCATGGTATTTATAATGTACCCCAAGGTACACTACATTTTTGACATGTTGAAAGGCGTTTCTTATGCTTACCAATGCTACATTTATGTTGAAAAATACAGTAAAAATATGGATTTTTGTATGGATATGGATAAAAAAACATACTGTGAAATAGTATTACAATTTAACATGTTCTATTTTAATATATTTAAAGTGTAATTTATTGCTGATTTGGTGCTCAAGAAGCATTTCTTCTTCATCTTCTTCTTCTTCTTCTTCTTTCTTCTTCTTATTATTATCAATGCTGCTTAACGTCCACTTACAGTTGAATGGAGTGCACCTAAAGATTTCTGAAGGATCATATGACACTGAAAACTGGAGTAATGATGCTGAAAATTCATCTTTGTCATCACTGGAATAAATAACATTTTAAAATATATTCAAATATTCAAAAATATTTCACAATATTACCATATTTGCTGTATTTTTGATCAGATAAATTAAGTGTTGGTGAGCATAACAAACATATTTCCAAAAAAAAATAAATAAAATGAACTATTCCATATTTTTTGACCAGTAATGTACAATAATACTGCTGAAAATTAGTGTAATGTAAAACCCGGTACCGTTTCAGTAAGTGAACTGTAAATGAAAAAGGTCTGTTATGGGTTGAAAGCATGGCAACAAACGGTTTACTCAATCCGACTCTATTTTGACAGGCTTTGAAAGAAATAAATAATTTTCTATTTTCAAATTACATTTTCCATCATTCTTGTGAATTTTCAGCAGTCATTATTCCAGTCTTCAGTGTCATACAATTATTATTTTTCAGAAAAATTTTTAATATGCTGATCATTTAGAATTGGTGCTCTAATATTAATAACGATATTATTAAACTGTGCTACGTTTTTTTTTCTTCCCGAATTTGATGAGAGTTCAACTGAACAGAATTTATTTGAAATATATATTTTTTGTAACATTTTAAATGGCTTTATTTAAATGTCTTTTGATCAATTTAATATGTTGATAATAAAATTATTATTTTGTTTAAAATGTTACAGCTCCCACAAAAAATATTAAGCATAGAGTAATAATAATAATAATAATAATAATAATAATAAATTTAAAATAAGATAACAGTTCTCAGGTCAACAGTTTTGAATGGTTAAGCATTTACGATGAAATTAGATTATTTTATTGAATTTGAAACCAACATAATCTCAAAATTCTGATTATAATTTATATTTGTTGTTGGATACATTCAAGAAAGTCACAACCTCATTATAAGCTGATGTGTTTAAAACTAGCTACTTTGCATGCTTGATTCATTTTAGTAATGCTTTAACAAATCGTACATGGGATTTGTGTTTTAGAAACTAAAAGGATATCAATTTGTACCCTATTCTTGGAAATGCCTCCACACATTAACATTTGTGCTCCTTTGTTTCATCTGTCCCTGCAGGTGCAAAAACATGTCTTACCCGTCCAACCTTCCGCAGGTTAGTATAGTCTTCATCTTTGTGAACGAGGCACTCTCAGTCATTCTGCGCTCCATACATTCGGCAATGAACAGAACCCCACGCCACCTACTCAAAGAGATCATACTGGTAGATGACAACAGCTAAGTCTGCGATCCGCCATAAAGCAAGATGAAGAAAACGTGTTTTGCGCAGGCTTAAGAAGAAGACGCGAACACGCTCAGGATGCGCTCAGGACAGTTCAGATATTGCTGTGAATCAGAGGTAAAAAAAAGATATACAGGTGCATCTCAATAAATTAGAATGTCGTGGAAAAGTTCATTTATTTCAGTAATTCAACTCCAATTGTGAAACTTGTGTACATGCTTGGATACAGCACTCTGTGAACAGCCAGTTTCTTTGGCAATGAATGTTTGTGGCTCCTTGTGAAGGGTGTCAATGATTGTCTTCTGAACAACTGTCAGATCAGCATTCTTCCCCATGATTGTGTAGCCTAGTGAACCAAACTGAGAGGCCATTTTGAAGGCTCAGGAAACCTTTGCAGGTGTTTTGAGTTGATTAGCTGATTGGCATTTCACCATATTCTAATTTGTTGAGATAGTGAATTGGTGGGTTTTTGTTAAATGTGAGCCAAAATCATCACAATTAAAAGAACCAAAGACTTAAACTACTTCAGTCTGTGTGCATTGAATTTATTTAATACACGAGTTTCACAATTTGAGTTGAATTACTGAAATAAATGAACTTTTCCACGACATTCTAATTTATTGAGATGCACCTGTATATACTGTTCAGCTTCTTGTACAGACCAATTGTTTCGTGTCTTTACACATCAATGTATCGTCACGAGCCGCAGGGTTTAATTTGGTTTTGTTTGTGAATGTTTTTTTTACTCTCAAAGCCATGATTCCCATCCACTGACATTATAGGACTGACAGACTGCAACGGTCTGAGTTAAAAAATCTTTGTTTGTGTTCTACTGAAGAAACAAAGTCACCTACATCTTGGATGCCCTGGGGGTAAGCAGATAAACATAAAATTTTCATTTTTGGGTGAACTATCCCTTTAACATGTTTGTCGATTGTGTAATGTTTGTCTCACAAGCTCTAAGTAGCGAGTGCCATTAATGTGAAGCATTGGCGTAACTACTTCCTGAGAGACTGGAAAAAAGCAGCACCAACCTCATGCATTTCCTTTTATTGCTCTCTTGTGTTGGACTAGCTAGTTGTCAGTGTGAGGCTTATAGTCTTAATAATTACTGCTGTTTGGCTTCTCAGCATTCTGTCTTCAGTTGCACCCTTCTGTCTACTTAATTAGCTGCTCTGCTCATTGGATTAAAGTGACTAGTGATGGAATACTAATCAGCTGAAAACTGAGAAATATTTACCCCAGAAAGCTTAAACCTAAGAAACGTGATGAATTACTCTGTTTCTTCAACATCATGCACCTCATGTTCTGGACAATTGTTGCATGTAGCGGGTTTGTGTGCTGGCCTTTTTGCTCATTATTACTTTAATTTCCACCAATTTGGTGCTGCAGTAAGTGCATTAATTTGACAGACTGATGAATCTCCTGTTATATTTAACATTAATAAAAACAAATGATATAACGAGAGGTTGGGATGGCAAATTATCCTGTATTTCAGCTATTTTGTGATTATTGCATTCATTATCAAATTGTCTACATTGAGAAAAAAAAACTTTTTCTGAATTATTCTGTTAATATTGTGTGAAACAAATGTTAATTTAATTTTAGTATTATGTACACGTAATTTCCCAATTTCTAAATAAATGTATTATTATATTGCATTTCATATATTTAAATTATATTGACCTTATCTTCCAGAAAATTCTTACATAATTTACTCACCATCAAGTTCTTCCAAATCTGTTTATTTTTTCCCCCCTGTAGAACACAAAAGAAGATATTTTGAAGAATGTTGGTAACCAAACAGGATGTTGGCTGGTAGCCATTGAACTTCATTTTGTTTTTATTGTGGAAGTAAAACTTTTAATTTGACATTATTAAAAAATGCACATTTTAAAAGTGTACTTAATTGTGTCAAGAAACGATTGTGAAAGTATACTCTAAGTACACATACGTGTCCATTTATTTTTTTATTATCTGCAAGAACAGATTTTTTTATATACTTTTACGATTTGGAGATTACAATTAAGCACACTTCTTTTTTACTTACGTAAAAGATACCTAAACATTTCATCTTGAAAAATATCACAAAACCTAAGCTTCACAGAATCATCTGCAAAGATGTTAAAACAGCTCAAAGAAAATTAATGACTCACACTGCAAAAAAATAAATTATATATAAATATATATATATATATTCCTTACTTAGCATTTTGGTCAGCAGATATATCTAAACAGAAAAATTGCAAAAGAAAAATAGCTTAAATTGGACTTATTTTCAGAAAATATATCTTCAGTTAAGTTCATATATTGTAGGCAATAAAAAAAAAACAGCTTAGAAGCAGAATTGCATGCAATATAAGACTTGCTTTCAGATAATCCATAATGATCAGTTACTCAAACATGAACATATGCTGAACATTATTCACCCTTAGGCCATCCAAGATACAGATTGATTTTTTTTTTCTTAATTGGAACAGATTTGGAGAAATTCAGCATTACATCACTTGAATGAATCCTCTGCAGTGAATGGGTGCCGTCAGAATGAGAGTTCAAACATGCAGCCAAAGGAGCCACAGTACTTTTTGTAGGGCTGTCTTGGCTGGCCATTGTTGGTTTTGAGCTGTTAGATGGAGTGATTAATTGATTTCATGAATGTTGCATTATATTGGTTGAGAGCTTCGCATTCAGTTCAATACAGCTTAGCTGTCCCAGCTCTTGGAGTCCATATTGACGTACACAAAGATTTAATTATTTTCTTTCTGTGACCAGGGATAATAAGGACATCTTCCAGCAGGCAAACTAGGCTTCCTCACAGAACCTGAGCAAACTTTCTTACATCATTGGGTCTCTGTAAGATTGACAGAGAAGACAGATTGTCCTATGACAGATGTACTAAATAGATGTATACCTCTCGCCCAGATGACATTTTAATTTTAATATTCAGGGTTGTGCGCCATTCTGAACTGAGAATTTGAATGTAATAAAAGGCTTACTGACTTGACAAAGCCTTGTTGAAAAGTTTCAAAAACTTGAAAGTCTAATGGTTTATATGCCTCTATGGACAGAAAAAAAGTAATTTTGTACCAGTGTTAATTTCGTTGACAAATAATTTTCTTCAGAATGTTCATCAATTACATTTTTTTCACTGACGACAACGAGACGATAATGAACTAAAACTATTTTTGAATTTCAAAAACTCTGACGAAAATTTACTGACATTTTCGTCAACGAATAAAAACGAGACAAAAATGTTAGGGAGGGACAATTTGGGAAGAGATTAATTCAATTTCAGAACGAATCTGCTGCGTGGTTCGGAGGTTAGATGCGTACATATGAACCGGCGGGACATAAGCTAAAATACACTTGCTGCACGTCGCATAAAATGTTCAAAAATTTAAATATGTGGGAGCAAGAGAAGAGCAGACATATAGATAAATCTGACGACGCATGAGAGAACTCAATTTGGTTCGGTTTTCTGAGCGCAGACACTAAAACATACACACACAGAAAGCGTGTCTCACAGCGCGCCAGTACACTTTTGCATCGCATGAATGGATAATTACACACAAAATTATGTCGAATTGTCCGTTTTGATGAGTATTCACATAAACACAGTTGATTACGTCTTAAGTGAACGCAGGGGCGTGTCTACCCCAGGTGCCCCCCCGGCCACCCTCTTTTGAGCCAGTGCCCCCGACTGGCCCCCCCATTTAAAATGCTCTAGACACGCCCCTGAGTGAACGTAAACAGTAGGGAGAACGTGTATCAGTATTCGGTTTTAAAGGGACAGCAGCCTAATTTAGTTGCTATTGTCCGAGTCATTGATGTTAATCAAGCAAGGAAAGAAAGAAAATCACTCACTGCTCTTGACTGAAAAACTTTAGTAGCCTTAAAGATTAATCTAATTTTATTTAAAGAAATAAATGTCTGCTTGAAAGAATCAAGAATATGGTAAACAAGTTGCTATAAATAATGCATAATTAGCCTATATAACCATTGGTATTTCATAAAAAAATAAGACCATGTTCTTGTTCTTTATGAGAAGGGGTTTTATTTAATTTTAACATAAAGGCATGTTGTGTGTCACAGCAGTTAATTCGGTGTCTATCATGATAAAACTTTAATATCAAACCTTTATAATGAGTTTGGAAATTTGGGAGAAATGCTTAATAAACGCATTACACTGTAACTAAACCCATTAGATTTTAGCCGACTAAATTTACTGTAGATTTAGTCGACTAAAATCTTATGATATTTAGTCGACTAAAACTAGACTAAAACTAAAAACAATTCAGGTGACTAAAATATGACTAAAACTAAATGGCATTTTAGTCAAAAGACTATGACTAAAACTAAATACAAATTTGCACTGTTTTGTACTGATAATTGCACTTTGTAATGACAAATGAAATATTTTACTTTAAAGTGCATTTTAAATGATTATATTGTATTATGAACATTGCTATGAAAATATGAACTTGCTTTAGCGTACGAACATTATGACGAAAATTATTTGTCAACGAAATTAACACTGGTACAAAATGACATCATTACAAACGTATAAAATATATTTCAGTAAATGACATACAGGTTTCAATGGAATGTTTACAATAAATTCTTGTCAGTACATTCAGCAGTACACTTTAACCATATTTATTATGAAATTAGATATAAAGATGTACTTAAGTCCTACTTAAGTGGGTCAAAGAAGCACTTTAAATTTCAGCTAGTTGCATTTAATATACATTTAAACTATAATAAATTATAATTTAATTGCAAATAACATGCAATTAAGTGTCTGTAAACATGATATTCAGATCATACCTAAATATTATTTTAAAGTGCATTATTTGAGTAATTAGTACTCATTTTAAAAGTATGCCAAAATGTACTTGTCTTTCACAAGAGATCCTGCGAAAATGAATGCTGGTTTAAGTCAGTTTAACATCAAGGACTTAATTAAAATGTCTCCTTAAATGCTTTGACACCCAATAAGATTGCTTAGAGACCTTCAGCTTGTCAGTATTCTTTTATATTATCATATTATAATGGCTAACAATAGATTCAGTCAAACTTAATGTTTGGTATTGACTGAAACAAGAAGTGCATTTGAGATAATGGTGATGAAAGATTGATGCTTTCAGTCACGAGCAGCTCTGAGATAATGGACCTGTATCCTTTGCTTTATTATGATAGTATCTTCACCAGTTCTTTCAATCAATTGCTATTTGTTCACGTATGTTAAGCAGTCATCTTCGACAGGGATGAAAGTTCTGCTCTAATGACCTTTGAAGAAAGTTTTTGGTGAGGTTGAGGATAGAGGGATTTTCTCTGTCAAATAAAATCAGAAGACAGATTTCATTTAGTGTCTCCTGGTTCAATCATAATACTCATATTTGCAGCTGGGGGTAAAGCATTAGAGCAATTTGTAGAGCCACAAGCTGTTCATATCCAATGTTCTCTGGCTTTTGAAAGAGACATTCTCTTCACGTTCACTCGTGTAATTCCACAATCTCAGTGATCGATGAGAGACGCCGTTCGCTCAAGGATAAACTCTGTAGGCACGAGCCTGGCTGAGCACAACATCCCACTCAAGGGCAAGGTGAATTACATTGTGGCTATACGAAACGTGACCTTTAGAATCTCTCATACCTGTGGCCAGTGTCAGGATCAACGGCAAGGAAATAGAGAAAAACAACTGTCAGATAACAATCGCTGTGATTGGTCCATATTACAAGTTCAGTCAATCATCATCTACACTGGAATCATTCTGTCTGAAGAATATACTACATATCATCATCTCTTTCTATCAGAAATTTTATTTTTTCACATACATTGAAAACTTTTTCGAAAGTTTTTTTTTTCTTCTCGAAATTGTAAATAAAACGTCTCGGTTACGTATGTAACCCTCGTTCCCTGAAGGAGGGAACGGAGACGTCACGTCGGAGGACCGACGAAATTGGGATCTCGCTTAGAGGGACCAATCTACTTCGAGTGTAAACTAAACGAGCCAATGCACATTGGCATGCGATTATTGCATCCAGCTGCTGCTGATCACAGCGTGAGTATAAGTAGGCAGCAGATGCAGCGCATATTCAGGTTTTCGCT